TTTTTTTTTTTTTTTCCAAGGTACTTAGCTTATATGCATGTGTGTGTGTGTGCTTATGTGTGCGTGTGTATATATTATGACATATACAATGTACATTTTGAGGCATTGTATAAATTTTCTCATATCCAAATAGTTACGTTACTCATAAAGGAAGAAAATGAAACAATAATTAATAAAAAATTAAAATGCAAATTCACACTATGTAATTATTTATACAATATGTGCAACAAATAATTATATTTTGTCGTTTGAATTATTTACATAGGAATTAGCAAATTATTTTTCAAACTTTTGTTTCATAAGAATTAGAGTGAAAGTTCCAATGCATAACTATTTATTTGTAGCAATTGATTATAATTATATTTTAATGTCATGATACATAAAAGTTGAAAAAATTTATTTCTAGGTAATTAATGAATGTTTGGAGAGAAAAAAATAATATCTCCAAGCTACTTCACTCTTATATATATATATATATATATAGTTTTTTATTACACAAATTATCTACAAAATTTAATGTGTATTCAACATGTACTTATAAATATCAATTACTATATGACTTACAATTACAATTTAACATTTCCAATGTGACAAATTAATTATCCCTTCTTATTTCCAATAATCATAGGCAATTACCCAAAATTGCAATCAATACATAATTTAATTAATAACTACAATACATATTCCAAGTTTAGACAACATCTAAAATAACGTGAAAATAAATTATCCTAGAATTAATACAATAATTAATGTAAGTTTGAGCGGGAATTTGGCAGCTGCTCCGCTTTAATATATATATAGATGGAGCAATTATGAACTGGGACATGGATACAGAAAAATCGAGTCTTCTCAAAATTTGTGAATTGAAAAGGCTAAGCGAAGAAGATAATCACGAGTACTTTAGAGCGACTCAACCATTTTCTAAATACAATTTTTTCGTAAAGCATCTAAGCAAGTTGATCCGTCATACCTTTTTAACAAAAATATATATTTATTCTATAAAATATTATTTTTTTTGTTTATGTCATTTTTCAAAGTACGATATTTTAATTTGAAAGTATAGCTCTCTAACAGTAATGTCTACTTAACAAATTGTTTACTATTTCCTAAATGTATGGTTTAATACAAATTCCTCCATGTAGAGGCCTAATCATTAAATGGGTCGACCAATCATAATTCTCTAATAAAAATGATATTTATATCATAAAATGTCATTTTTTTATTTGATTTCCAGAGCATTTATGAAAAGAGTATAATTGTCTAATCGCTAAACTTCACCGATGGTCTAAATATGGCTAATTGAGATTCAAAATAACCAAAATTTCCTGAAAACATATTTTCTTTTCTAGAAAAAATAATACCTGGTGAATTCTTTAATGATAATGAGACACCCACATATAGGTGTGCATTCCCTGCAAAACATGGTACCTTTCATTTTCCCTTAAGGGACCATGTATACTCCTCTACACATGTCCCTTGCCTGCAACACAAAAATAATTACACAATCCTCCCCTGAAGCACCACAAATTCCAAATTGGCCCCAGATTATGTATGCTAAAATCCTACCTATCATTATTGTATTTGTGGCAGGAAAATAACACCAACGCTCATAATATATATATGTATATATATTTTTCGAATTGCATAAATAAAACCAAAAAAACGAAGAAATCAGAAATGTGAGTAAAGCAGAATGACAAATCAAGCTTGTATACACTAAAATCTTTCCACACATCAATAGTATCAAATACATCCTGAAAATGCCATCGGTCACATTGAATGTTTCCGTAATAATCAACTTACATTCCACACTAAGCACTGAAAAATTCTAAAATAGAAAGGAGAAAGTCGATAATGTACATAAAAGCATGATGAAAATCAAAACCTATGATCAAATTCCTACAAGGAAGTAAGAAGAACTCCACAATAGTTTTTATTCACTCCCAAAAACCTCCCATCTCAGGAACTGGCCTAACGTCAATCTGCAGTTTGGTTAAGCAAAATGCGTCTACTTGCTTGGAGATGAATTGGAGAAGAAACCATNACCCAAGCTAATCTGGAATTTCAGAGGAAAAGACCTCTATAAACCCAGATGCATAAGTCTATATTATATATAGTACATTCGGAAAAAAAAAAGACACCCATGAATGGATAAAAAAAAAAAAGTAAATTGTGCATGTAAAACATCATCTAGGACCCCACCATTCATGGTACATTTCCTAATCAGATGTATACAGGTTTGACATCATTAGCCCCGAAACTCGCTGCACAAACTGGGCACTTACGGTGACGGGATTCAACGATTTTTTGAACGCAAGGGCTGCAAAACAGATGGTAGCATTTCGTGATGACCACCTGCAAGAAGAAGCATAGCTTAGGTTTCACTCGATTTTAACTTTAAAACTCGTGTCCAATTGCATATAAGTTAACTTATAGCTTATTTGATTAGCTTATAAGCTTTCTGTATTCAAATAAACTTTGTTTGCTAGGACATGCTTTTTTTAAAAGCTCCAGTATATCTCGTAAGCTTCCTTCCTCGGATAGCTTTTTAAATAAGTCAATTGAAATTTTTATTGCAGCTAGCTTATTAGCTAATTTTAGCAAACACTTTTATCATAAGCTAGCTTTTCAGCTATAAACTCAAAATTCACTTAATAGCTATAAGCTATCTTTTCAGCTAGGTTTACCAAACATAGCCTAAGTAGAAGATCATAAACACAGGGAGCTTCCAATTCACATGCTCATACCCTTATATATGTCACTTTAATGAACGAAACTAAAAAAATGAGATGGAAAAAAAATGCTCGGTCGTGGGGTGTTTCGTTTCAGATCTCTACCAAACCAATTGGTGATGGTCTTTTCTTAACAAATTTGAAATTGCTAGTTTTTTCCTAATTTCTCATATAACTGCACAGGATTCTCCTAGATTACGGCGACCATGGATATTATATTACACCTTCTTAAGACCACTTCAAAATGAAACATACCTCTTTTCTTCTATCAAGGCAAACTGTGCATTTAAGAATTTCCTTATATTCCCTTAGCTCCAGCTGCAGCTTTTCAGCTAAGGAACCCTCGGCATGTAATTTCAGTAGTTCGGCTTTCCTCCGCTGAGCATCCAGATCCTCCTCTACCCTTTTCCTTGCAAATCTATACAA